TCGTCTCCAAAGTGTGTGCCAGAACCTGGTGTCACAAGCTACGGGCAACTAGTAGAATATATAACCCAAAAGAAGACCACACTACCCTACTGTCTAGATCAGAATAGACAAAAAATAACAATACAAAAGAAAGACTTCTTCGGCTGCGGATCGACATGGAAGGAAAGCAGCTCACCGTAGAAGTCCCAAGTCTGCTCACGAATGCGCACCAGAGAAATAACCGGATCCACCTGCCTCAGACCCTGTACATTTAAGTACAGAAGCGTAGCATGAGTACATAAACAATATGTACCCAGTGAGTATCCCGCCTAATCTCGAAGAAGTAGAGACGAGAGGTCGACTTGATACTCTCTAGGGTCAAGATAATATAATATAATTGTGCTATTCTAAGCATGAAAGTCACCAATATTCAACAAGTTATAACAAAGAGAAATAATCATATTCTTGTCCTTACTTCAGTTTCCATTTTACATTTTCAATTTCTAAGCAAGTAGGCATGTCATGTTCAAATATCAGCATATATATACATATCATATGCAATCACACCGAGGTCGACGACCTTCTCTAACAGAATTAAAAATGTGCACTGCCGAGGGTCGAACGGCACGAACCATAGATGCATCTACTCTCACCGAGGCGATCGGCCCGATCCATAAATATCAAGAAAACATCAAGAATGCACCCGAAGGTTCATACACATACCAGGAAGCTCTTACCAAGGCTTAACAAGTTCATACGTTCACTTCATATTTCCTTTAAGTCTGTAGCATATCATGAATAATCATAGTGGCAATTTAAATAAGAGATACTTCCAAATTAGGCATGATGTGGGTCCTAAACTACCCATACAATTAATATCATAGTAGCTACGAACGGACTCTCGTCACCTAGTACGTACGTAGCCCCGCATTTAGCAACAATTATTCAGTTATTACACCTATGGGGACAATTCCCTCTTACAAGGTTAGAAAGGAGACTCACCTCGCTCCAAAGCGCGCTCCCAATATCGAGAACAAACCTAAGCTCTTAATTCGAAGCCGAACGATCACAAACTAGTTAAAATAGGTAAGAACTAGTCAATAAAGGCTTAAAAGGACGAATTCTAACTATTTAAGTAATTTTCCAACCTCTTTCACAAGTTTCCTAAATTCTGACCCCGGGCCCACGTGCCCGGATTCCGATATTTTTCGAAGGAAATTGTTCTCTACAACCTAAGGATCAATAATATATCATTTCTAGTTCATTACATAAACAATTTACATGCTTAAATCTTAGTTTTACTAAAACCCTAGGTCTAGCTCTAACCCTTGATTTTTTTACTTAATTTTAATGTTTAATCTAACTAATGTTCATGTAATTAAACTAAGAATGGAGGGAGATTACTTACCTTACAATTCTATGTGGAAATCCTCTCTTTGGAAGAACCCAAATCGCCCAAGTGTGAAGTAGTGAGTAAAATAAATGACCTTGAGCTCGAATTAAAAGAGCTCACTGCCCAGCGATTTCCGCTTCTGCGGTTTGGGGACCGCATCTGCGGTCCCGCTCCTGCGTAAAGGAGGCCGCATCTGCGGCTCTGGACTTTAGGCGACTGGACCGCTTCTGCGGTTTTGGGCCGCTTCTGCGGTTCTGGCCCAATTTGGCTGGACCGCTTCTGCGGTCGAATTTCCGCTAAAGCGGAACCGCTTCTGCGGTTTCATGACCGCTTCTGCGATTTTCCCTGGGCCTGCCCTTGGCCGCTTCTGCGAAGGCCTGACCGCATCTGCGGTCCCGCTTCTGCGGCCCTAGAACCGCAGATGCGGTTATGACAGAAGCAGCAGTTCAGCCTCTTCTTAAATTTTTAACTTCACTCAAGCCTCGATCGTTTGACGCTCGGGGATCCCGAGCCCCGTCCAACATGCCAGCAAGTCTGAAATCATGAGGCGGACCTACTCAAGTCCTCGGAACTCCCAAAACAATGCTAAATCTTGGAATCACCCCCTAATACCAAATGAATCAAACTATTGAATCTTCAAGTTCTTAACTCTCCTCTAACGGGTCAAAACGCCCTTAAACTACCCGGATTGACACCAAATTTTACGGGCAAGTCTTAAACGACATTACGGGCTTGTACCAACCTTCGGAACCAAAATCCGAGCCCGATACCTAGGGAATCAATGATTACTTAGTTTTCTTTAATTCCTTAAAGCTTTAATTAAACAATTTTAGATAAAAATTCATTACTTGGGCTAGGGACCTCGGAATTCGATTCCGGACACACGCCCAGGTCCCATATTTTCCCACGGACCCTCAGAAATTGTCAAATCATGAATCCGGGCCCGTTTTCCCAAAATGTTGGCCGAAGTCAAACTTGGTCTTTTTAAGAAATCCTAAAGAAGCAAATGGGCATATTTTTACTCAAAACCCTTCCAATCCCCGAACCAATCGCCCCCGCAAGTCGTAAATTAGTTAAACCAAGTAGGGGAGGCTTTATTTAGGGGAACGGGGTTCTAAAAGGCAAAACGACCGGTTGGGTCGTTACATTCTCCACCTCTTAAACAAATGTTCGTCCTCGCACGGACATAGAAAAGTACCTGGACTGCTGAATAAGTGGGGATATCTGCTCCGCATGTCCTCCTCGGACTCCCAGGTCGCCTCCTCGACCGGTTGGCCCCTCCACTGGACTCTCACCGCAGAAATCTTCTTGGACCTCATCTGGCGATCCTGTCTATCAATAATAGCAACTGGCTCCTCCTCATAGCCCAAACTCTCATCTAACCGAATGGTGCTGAAGTCCAACACGTGGGATAGGTCGACATGATACTTCCAAAGCATCGAAACATGAAAAACTGGGTGAACTCCCGATAAACTAGGGGGTAAAGCAAGCTCATAAGCAACCTCCCCAACTCTCCTCAACACCTCAAAGGGGCCAATAAACCTTGGGCTCAACTTGCCCTTCTTCCCGAATCTCATNAATATATGTGACCATGCATTTTATTATACATTGTAGATATAATGTAGATATTTTTTGTAAATGTTGCTCTTATTATTTATAGTGTGATTGTATTTAGGTTAGACCTTATGTATCATATTTGATGATGGTATGTATGTAAAAATTGTATATTTGGTAATTTGGACAGAATTGGTATATCTGTATTTCATGATTGTAGTTAATTTGTAGTTATATTGTAGAGCAAGATGAAGACTTACAATATTAACTGTAGTTAGAATGTCGATATTATTGATACCTTATGGTAGTTGCTGTGTTCCATGTGTTGCTGTGTATAGCAGCTAAAGTGTAGCTAATTGTTAGATTATTTTAATTCTGGCTTTGTAGTTTAAAGTGTATCTGCTTTGTTGATAATTGTAGTTACACTGTAGCTTATAGTAGATTTTATTTTATTTTGCAGCACATTGATGTTATTATGTATTACCTGAGAAAAAGAGGCAAATATGGCCCCAACAACAACAACACTAGGTTTACAACAACCGATTGCTTGTTCAAGTCAAAGATTGAACAAATCTATGAGAAGTTCATAAGTACTCCGCCAGAACAAAAGTATTCGGTTGTTAAACCCGATGATAATGTTGCAGAATATATTCTTGGGTATACACTTCTTACTAATGTTGCCTGGGATGAAGTTGACTATATCATCATGCCCGTGAACATTGTAGAGAATTTCCATTGGTCGTTTTCAACATAGCGGACAGGCAACTATATGTCTATGATTCCATGGTGTCTTCACACATTCATAATGCTATTGATAAGTTTTCAATCATCATCCCTCTGTATTTGTCTTGCACTGGTTTCTACGGGAAGCGTAAAGACATTGACTTCAAGACCACAAAGGCATACATTGAGAAACCAGCTACAGACCCTCTCAACATACAGTGGATGGTTGCGGAGATTCCACAGCAAAAGGAAGGATCACTGTAAAAAAAAACTATTCTCTCCTTCTAGATGGTTAATTATTATTTTTATAATCATTTGTTAAATAATTAAAAAAATTTGTCTTATGCAGCGATTGTGGTGTATTTGTGGCTGCTTTTCCGGAGTATGTTAGCCTTGGCGATTTGTCAATCCCTTCAGAAGACCTTTCGGATATCGACCAACACCGTACACGCTATGGAGCTCTCCTATGGGACTATGCTACAAAGAAGCAAGAAGATGGGTCAATCAGTGAAAGTGAGGTTACAGGCAGGCTAGCAAGGAGGAAGGGTGCTCCTGCTTTGAATGAGAAGACTAGAGTCCAGAGAAAGAAGAAATAATGCCCTGTTTTCCTAGTTTAGTTGATGTCAATTTGTAGTTGAAGGAGAATACACTACTTTATGAACAAAATTTTTATGTTTTTACTACAGCTTACCTTATTGTTTTGTTATTTTATGTTTCATTATTAGTTGTTCACTTGAATATAAATTGGCTTGTTTACAGCACTGTATCTTCATTATATTAAACATGAGTATTTTGATGTTACAATATGATTTGCCTACAAATAATCTTCACAATATCTAAATTTTATAGACACTCAATTTAGTTATTGCATATAATTTTGTTGTTGTATATGTTCATAATTTTTATGGAATACCTTCAAGTTCTATGTAATATCTATATATAACTGTCAGTTGAAGTTAAATTACACAACAAACAGAAGAAATAAATACTCCAATCATAGAAATATACTATCCATAATTTGTCCGTCCGCAAATTATCTACAAATTATTACCAAGACTACAATTTAACTACATTTAACCTATATTTTACCTACAATCTGGAAACACTTTACATTAAAGTTACTTTTTTAATATCAGTTGTATTGTAGATAATAAATATTAAAAATTTAATTACACTATATCAAAGATAAATTTAGATGCCTGACAAGATACATAAAAGCATATTAAACACACATAAACAAATAGTAGTCTACTTCATAATGATCTTTAAAACCTTAAACGATTACACAAAAGATCTGTTAACTTTAAATCACTAACAGTTAGTTTGAATAACTATTCTAACTACATGATATTCATTTCTTTTTGGGCGCATTCTTACAAGATCTTTTGTTATGGCCTTCACCTCCACAATTTTCACATGGCACTTTGTACTTCTTTGACTTTATTTCATCATATGTTTTATATCTTTCCTTTTGAGGTCTCCCTGGCTGCCTTTTATCTCCCGTCGGTGGATATTCTACCTCATCCAAAATATGTTGTTGCACATTCCATTTGCTTTCATCAGGAAGAGGATTTGCTGGTATTTCATACGTACGCAGAAGGCTCTCCCTTGTGTAATACGGAGAGCAATAGTTTTCATATGTTTCATGCCTGTGCCTTAATGCTGCCAAAGCATGCGCACATGGAAGTTCTTCAAGTTGGAATTGGCCACAGCTACATTTCTTATTTTCTAGACACACAATGTACCGCTTCACACCATCTAACACAGTATGTATATGATCTGTTGAAGCCCTCACCTACAATTGCAGAACAAACAGAAAGAAAAATATTTACAATCATAAAAATAGATTATCTACAATTTATCTACAAATTATCTACAATCTACAAATTAACTACAATTTGTCTACAATTTATCTACAATCTGGAAACACTGTATATTAAAATATTATTTTTCTGCACCAAATAAACAGATCTTACCCTAAGTTTCTGAGATAATATACTGTTTTTCTCCAATTCTTTGTTGAATTTGTACCCAAGATATGTGAAGGTATCCTTTGCCTTCAATAACTTCTCCTTCGTCCAAGTTTCAAGAAGTGTCCTCATATACTCTAACAGGTCAAATATTGGCAGCTCTCTTGCATATTTTGTTACAGCATTCAATGACTCTGCAATGTTTGATATCATAGTCCAAGTTCTATTCACCGTTGCATGTACTCTTGACCATCTATGATAGCCAATGTCATAGAGGTATGATTTAACACGAGGGTCTATCTCTTCAATCTTCGACATCCTTTCATTAAAATCATCCAGATTGTATGACCCTGCTGTAGCAAAGTACAATTCATGTAATTGTAGATGACCCTTCTTGAATTTTGACCTTATATTTGTCCAAATATGCCACATGCAAGAGTAGTATGGCATGTCCGGATAGACAATTGATGTTGTCTTCAGTATACTCTCATTCCTATCTGAAACAACACACATTGAAGGTCTTTCACCATATGCCTACTTGAATTGCTCAAAGAACCACTTCCAAGATGCGTCGTTTTCAGAATCAACCACAGCATATGCCAAGGGCAATATTGTACCTACATTATTAATTCATAAAATATTAATTGGCAGCTTTGAAAATGTATATAAAAATATAAATACACAACAACTACAATATATCTTCATAATATAGACAATTTATCTACATTTCATGTAATAGCTACAAAATAACTACAAAATTACTACAATGTATCTACATTTTATAGACTGCCTACAAAATAACTTCAAACTTTTTACACTTTTTACCTGCTGCATCCGTGGTACTTGCTGTCAGCATAATCCCCCTGTAGGCTGACTTTAAGAATGTCCCATCAACCACTACTACTGGCCTACAATGTTGCCAACCACTTATTGATGTACAAAGAGCAACAAATGCGTATAAGAAGCATTCATCTGCTGTCTTCTTCAATTTAACAACCGAACCAGGATAAGTCTCCTCAAGAATATAAAAATATTTGGGTAATTTGTTGTAGGAGTCAGTCGGATTCCCTCTCAAAAACTGTAAAGCCTTTTCCTTTGCTCTCCATGCTTGCATGTAGCTTAGGTTCACTCCGCGTTCTGCTAACATGTCAGTTTGTATGTCCTTTGGTGTGTAAACAGTCTTAGGATCACAATACTTTGGAATGACCATGCTACCAACTATAGCTGCAGTACGTTTGCACTGTATGAATGTTTCGTCCATTAAGGAGCATGTGTGTTGTCGGTTGAAACTCCTTATCTTGAACATTGCGGATTCATTAATTGACGTTTCCTTGAAGTGCCATTTACAGTTTTCACCAACGCATACAAGCCAGTAGCTACAAAAAAAATACAATATTTAATACAGATTATAAATGTAGGTGCAACAAAAGGACTGTTTTAACATAAAGTAACATAAACTACAATGTAACTACAATTTATCTACAATTTTTAAAAAACACATAACTTGAGTAAAACACTGCTTTTAATGATCTTTTCTCCATACCTTCTATGACTAGATCTTTTAACTCTGAACTGGAACTTGTGCATCACAGAAAAGTGCTTCATTGCTGCAGCTACAGTTTGCTTGTCCTGATACACTTGTCCTTCTCCAATATCAGTTTGCGTAGATTCTTTTATTATTTCAATTTGATATTCCTCTATAGCTAGAGAGGATGGCATATCAAGTAACTTTAGGGATCCAGACGAACCTACATCAAAATAAAGATAAACAGTGTCATTATAATTTTGTAGAAAGTTTGTAGATTTTTTGTAGATATAGTGAAAATTTTGTAGTCATCCATTTTTAGGATGTAAGACATTGTAGTTAAATTGTACTATAACTGTTGTAATTTGTAGAAATTTGTGAAAACAATATTGCTTCGTACATAATTAAACTAATTTGTATTTTATTTGACTAGATTTTGTTCTAAACATAGATTGTAGTTTTATTTGAAGACAGCATTTTGAAATCAACAATTTCTTAACATAGATTGTAGTTTATTTTGTCGTATATATGTAGTTTACATGTAGAATTTTGTAGATAATATCGTAAAACCATAATTCTATGCAATTTCGAACTATACAAACCTGCACTTTTGTTATCGTTGGTGATTGCCAATTTCATATTGAAATCTCGTACACTTATACATAACGGATATGAACCTAAGTTTTTATTCTCCTTTTTGATCTCCATATACACACGAACCCCCATATCATTCCTAATCTCCATTGGGGGACAATTGTCGTTCACGATGTATTTGATTTCTACAATTTTTTCTGAAGTATCAATCGATAGTTGTTTTGCAATTGTAGAAATGAGAATACTGTAGCTTGCATTCTCATCTACCACAATGGCATCAACTTCAAAATCTCTAAATTTGCCATAGTTATCCCAATTCCCATTCAATTGTAGCATGATTGCGATTTTGGACATGATTGCTTGTTGTTGTTGATGTTTTTTTGGATTTCTAGATTGAGAGAAGAAAAGATGAATAACAGATATATGATTGACAATTTGATTTCTGAAAACGACGAAGAACATAATATAGCAATTTTGAGTTGTTGAATCTCGAAGATTTGAATTCTACAATTTGAATTCAGTTTGTTGAAGCTGTTCGTAGTTGAATCTGTTCGTGCTTGAAGCTGTTCGTACTTTTTTTTTTAATTTTTGAATTGTAGTTTAAGAGAAAAATACGCAGATGAGAAATCTCCTTTCCGTTTCAAAAATTGAATTTAATGTAGAATCAATCAATCCCAAGATTCTTTCCTGATTTTTAGCGCGTTTTTAAGGGAATATTCTGCCCTTTTAATACCTAATAAACGAATGGTATAGAAATTGTAGGAAAATGTGGACTAGGCGGGTAATTTAGATACTATGCACATATTTGGTAATAAAGTTTCATATATGGTATAGGAAGGAAAAAATCCCATTTTTTTATTTCTATACACTATTGGAAACTTTATTACCCTAACTGTTTACTAAATTACCCTACCTATACAAATTTTGTTTACAAAATATATACATTCCACCTTAAAAGGCTCCCAATCCATTATTAGTGCCTTCAATTAAGGGATTTAGTTACCCCCTTTACCTTTTTTTCTCTTCTTCTCTTTTAATATCTTCATTAGTAATAGAAATTATATTGTCACTCGTCCATCTCATGACTAGCTATTCACACTAGCTGTGAATTTGCACTAACTCATACAATTTGATATCACTTGGTTAGCCAATGTTAGTTTTAGTTGAAATCTCTAGGCTATTTTAGACAGATATTATTCTTATTTCTTAGTTTTATTTTCAACGTTTTTTCTTCTTATAGTTTACACCAAAATTATTCCTTAGTTTTACTTTTTTTTTATTTTTACTTTCTTTCCTTGTTATTTACGGGGGAACGTGTAGGTTTACTTTTCGCACACAAAATAACTATAACAACCATGATTCTAAGAAAGGTAATTTCTATATATCTTAAAATATGATACCAATAAAAATATTTCTTTTATTATAATTTTGTCTGTTATACTTAGGGTCTATCTATTGTTAATAATAAAGAAATTAATTAGTTCCTAAATAAAATGTGAGATTATTTTATTTAGTGTATGGTTGGATTTTACTGTTTTATGATATCACATTGTATACATATTCTGTGATGAAAATTTCAAATAACAATTTGAAATTTTTATCCTAAAGCTACATCACACAAGAGGAAATGTATACAGGAAGAATATCATTTATTTTCATCTTTTTACAGCACAACTACAATACCAAAGGACTTGGGAATTTCCTAAACTTAAACAAAAATCAATCCCATCACTGTTAACAAAATTTTGACATGGGTCCATTATTTGGAAGACTTTCCTCCACGGCACAAAACGATTGACATTGAATCTGGGATTAGAGGAAAAATCTGTATATACAAAATCTAAAATTAAAGAGTACGTACTATTCTTTTTGCTTACAAGCTGAGCATATTTTTAGGATTCAAACGAACAAATCTACAACTTATATACAATTTTTATACATTATTTATACACAGTTAAATACAACTACAATATCATACAACTTAAATATAATTGTTATACAAGTTTTATACAATATGTCTTTTGTATATTTTGTATCTGATTTATACATAGTAAAAACAAATTTCATACAACTAATTAGATATTATACAACTTATCTACAACTTATCTACAATTTGCATACATTATTTCTTATTTGCCCTGACGATGGACGCACTGACACACCATATCCAAGGGGAGGTGCCATGGTGTATGTTATTCGCTGATGATATAGTACTGATTGATGAGACGCAAAGCGGTGTTAACGAGAGATTGGAGGTTTGGAGACAGACCCTTGAGTCTAAAGGTTTCAAGCTGAGCAGGACTAAGACTGAATACGTGGAGTTCAAGTTCAGCATCATGCCGAGTGAAGCGGACGTGGACGTGAGGCTTGACTCGCAGTCATCCCAAGAAAGGAGCTTCAANTACAAAAAAACTTTAAATTATCTACAATCTGGAAACACTGAATGTTGAAATTGTATATAATTTTGTAGTTGAATATGTATATAATTTGCAGGGATTTACCTCAGTTGTATTTAATTCTATATATAAACTGCCAGTTCAAGTTTAAATTAATTTTTTTAAACTGTAGTTATATTGTAGATAATAAATATTAACTGCTACGTACAGAATGTAAAAAAAGGAGGTAGATGACTTGAACACAATACAGAAAAACATGTTAACAAACACAGTAAACAAATTGAAGTTAACTACATTATAATCTTTAAAAACTTAACGATTACACACAAAATTCTGTTAACTTGAACACACTAACAATTATTTTGAAATACTATTCTAACTACATGATATTTTTTTTTGGGTGCATTCTTGCAAGATCTTTTGTTATGCCCTTCACCTCCACAGTTTTCACATGACACCTTGTACTTCTTTGACTTTAGTTCATCATATGTTTTGCATCTTTCCTTTTGAGGTCTTCCTGGCTGCTTTTTCTCTCCCGTAGGTGGATTTACTACTTCATCAGATATATGTTGTGGCACATTCCATTTGCTTTCATCAGGAAGGGGATTTACTGGTATTTCATATGTACGCAGTAGGCTCTCCCTTGTGTAATACGGAGAGCAATAGTTTTCATAAGTTTCATTCCTGTGCCTTAAAGCTGCCAAAGCATGCGCACATGGAAGTTCATCAAGTTGGAACTGGCCACGAGTATATTTCTTGCTTTCAAGACACACAATGTACCGCTTCACACCATCTATCACAGT